TGGGTTATCATGTCGAAATGCTGCTTGATCAGCCACATTTTCAAAAAAATACACTTCCGACACAAAATCTTCACCAAACAGTGATACGTTATGATTCAGAACCAAAAAAGCGGCGATTTTGGCGATTAACAAAAACATCAAGGAAAAATGTGCTTCATCGCTTAAGGTGACTAAATTGACTCGGCTTCATTAAACAAAAAAAAAAAAAAAAAAAAAAAAAAAAAAATCGGTTTATTAGAACTTGTGAATTTTTAGGAAAGTTTTTGTTGCAAGATGGTTTGAATTCATTATTTGTTTTTATAATTATAAACATACTAGAAGACCCGGCCGCTTTGGTGGCCAAGAAAAACACAAAATTCTATGTATTATAATAAATTTTTACATTGTGACATTCGGGACAAAAGTACTCGGAATTGAAAAATATTGAAATTTTTATAATATAGATAATAAGTTCGTCCAGAATTAGACATGTCTTAAATGATTTTTTGAGCGTCTTTGAAGACTTTGTACCACTCATAGGCTTGTGTTTTAATTAAATCTGAATCATCGTAAGCCTTTTCCAACATTCGCAATCATTCCGCACACGAGAGTTTGTTATAAATACAAAATTTTTATTTATATTTTTCTCCATTGTAAAAATCGCAATGCACTACTGAGGTGTGGCCACTTAAGCAGCTGCTGTAAACAAACCGGTTGACAGATCGCACTCATATTTGGTATATTAATTAGCAAAATACATTTTTATACTCTCGCAACAAAGTTGCAAAAGAGAGTATTATAGTTTTGTTCACATAACGGTTGTTTGTAAGTCCTAAAACTAAAAGAGTTAGATATAGGGTTATATATACCAAAGTGATCAGGGTGACGAGTAGAGTTGAAATCCGGATGTCTGTCTGTCCGTCCGTGCAAGCTGTAACTTGAGTAAAAATTGAGATATCATGATGAAACTTGGTACACGTATTTCTTGGCTCCATAGAAGGTTAAGTTCGAAGATGGGAAAAATCGGCCAACTGCCACGCCCACAAAATGGCGGAAACCGAAAACTTATAAAGTGTCATAACTAAGCCATAAATAAAGATATTAAAATGAAATTTGGCACAAAGGATCGCATTAGGAAGCGGCATATTGGACGTAATTTTTTTGGAAAAGTGGGCGTGGCCCGCCCCCTAATAACTTTTTTGTACACATCTCGAAAACTACTATAACTATGTCAACCAAACTGTATAGAGTCGTTTCTTTTAGGCATTTCCATATACAGTTCAGAAATGGAAGAAATCGGATAATAACCACGCCCACCTCCCATACCAAGGTTATGTTGAAAATCTCTAAAAGTGCGTTAACCGACTAAAAAAAAACGTCAGAAACACTAAATTTTACGGAAGAAATGTCAGAAGGAAGCTGCATCCAGGCTTTTTTGGATTGGAAATTGAAAATGGGCGTGGCGTCGCCCACTTATGGACCAAAAACCATATCTCAGGAAGTACTCGACCGATTTCAATGAAATTCGGTGTATAATATTTTCTTGACACCCTGATGACATGTACCAAATATGGGTGAAATCGATTTACAACCACGCCTGAAATCTCGATTATCACTTTATCATGCGAGAGTATAAAATGTTCGGTGACACCCGAACTTAGCCCTTCCTTACTTGTTATTGTTATTTTATGTATGTGAAGCGAAAAAAATCTGCGGGAATTGTTACTAATTCGGTAGAGGTGTTAACTCCGGCCTTACTCTTTTCAATATCTAGCAACCGCTTCAAAACACAATCGCAGTTTTATCTTGTTGCAAAAACATTCGCATATTAGTCGCTGATTGGAATTTCTTTACGTGTCACCACAAATTAGATTATTTTAGGTAAGGGCTTAGTTAGTCAGCAATAGTTGATAGAGGAATATTCTGCATAGTCCGTCGATGCCTATGTTTCAGCTACCGGTTTCAAGAGGAAACACGTCGTTATTACCTTTGCAATACTGAGGCAATGCGCAACGTTCTTGAGCAACTCTGATAGTTCGGGGACAATAAGGACACAGATATTAATGGTTACAGAATAAGAAATACGAAAGTTTATACGTTTGACGTTCGATAGATCACTGAAATATAAACATAAGCCAGCCAAAACAATTTTTTAACATTCTAATTCTATTCGTTAAATGCAGTTTGTGTGAAGTGTGTCCTTTTGCGAAAAAAATTATAATCCATAATGTTAAAGAATCAATTACAATCATCAAACAAGTTCAATACAATGACAAAAATGATAACCTTCAAAATCTAATTTTTATACTAATATTGTCCGCTCAAATAAAATCTTATTTCATATTATTATCTTCCTCGCAGTTTTTCCATAGTTCCTTACTTTTTAAACCTGGACTACAATAAGCATTTTAAATCCAAAATCAGCTGTTCTCGACTTTTAGCGAGAGTAACGAATAGCAATTCACTTTTATATAATAATCATTCCTCAAAAGGTGCTTCTATTGCAATAGGACTCACAGGGAAGTAATGTTACAACATATAGCGCCTAAAACTATGCTGAAAAAAAATAAAAAATCGCTATGCATAACATTTGCGCATTACCTACTAACTTTTACCATTGTAGAAAATATGTATTGCGTTACGTTTCTTAGAGCTTCGTAATTGCTGCTGATAGTTTTCCCTTCTCAAGAAAGAAGATGAAACGTATTACTTAGGTACTTACAAAATATAGTAGAAGATTCTCTCATGTTGCTTTAAATATGTCTCCCTTCTGTAAAATCAAGTCAATCGTTAACAAGTCTTAAACTTTACTTGGAGGCAAAAATTTCTGAGTATAAATAAAGCAGATAGAACAAGTAATGAAGGGCTAAGTTCGGATTCAATAGAACATTTTCTGCTCTTGAAAGTTGCAAGAATCAAAGCCAGGGAAATACCTTAAGGTAAAATGTCAAGGTCAGAGGATCGGAATCCAAGCGATTTTATAAAAGCGTATACAAAACTACTACGAGCAAAAAATTATTAATTTTAAAATTTAGATTATTCGTCAAAATCTAAGTAGTTCTTTCAAAGTAATCTACGAACTATGGTGGTGCAAAAACCAAGGGTTGCGCGCCCCTAATTCCTACGTATTTTTACCAATAACTGCGCTCAAATGACGCATAACACTCAAATACTTAGTTCTCCTTGTTGACACTTTGGCCGGTCGAAAGAAATTCGGCATGCACCACACCTCGAAATGATTTCACTGGTCCTTCTGATATTCAAACTGTACTCTGGCTGTTAATTGTTGATCATCTGTTGTGGTTGATGGTCTTCCAGAACGTGGTTCGTCGTCAACGTGATCTTGGCCCTCTTTGAATAATTTGTACCAATCAAAAACTCACGACAAACAATTATCACCGAAGGAATTTGATTCCGCACACAAAATTTAATGGGACTGCTTAATTGAATAATTTCACTCAACGTAAAAATGGCCAAATGCACTTTATGTTCTTCAGAAAGACAAGCGTTTACTAAACACTAATGATTATTTTCATGTGACATTTGGTGCAGATGTCACTGACACTTATACCAACCCAGAAAAAAATATTTCTATGAATAAATAAAAAAACCTTACTTTTTTTTTTGCTCATACACTGACCGACATATACGACATAAGATTTGTAAAAAACGAAAATAATTATATGTAGTAAATGGCAGTTGTGGTAGTATCGACTAAATTTTATCTAGTTGTGCCCATATCACATACCATTAATATGCCACATTCTAAAAAGCCGTTCCCTGCTTTTTATAAAGTACATCAACAATCATATGGAATAAAGTCAGCCGGGTGTTCTAGAATCCTGATATCAGTTATATGGGGGCTAGGTCAAGTCTTCGCCCAATTTTATCTATTTAGGGTAGAAAGATACACAGTCATGAATAAAACACACTCCTTATTTACTCACATAAGTGGATCAGGAAAGTATTAACCCGATTCAAACCATTTTTGATAGACAGATATACTATTATGAGGAAAAGATAATCTCAGAATTTCATATCCAATTAGTGTATCTTGGGGTACACATATTCAATACTTGGTTGAACTTCAACAATTTTTGGTCATAAGATGGCATACTTTAAAGAATTTTTTGGTGCAAAATTATATTCCGTTATATTAATTGCTTCTTGATTTATATACTGGAAAGGCCTAGCTTCCACCTAGGAACTGTGGATAAATATATATACAGGAAAGTAAGAGAATCAAATTGAATTTAAAATTGTTCTTTATGGTAAGTAAGCGTGGTTGTAGTCGAATTGCGCTCATTTTCGCACTGTGATATAGAAATGTGAGAAAAATGCCACGGACTATATTTAGTTGAAATCGGTCGGGCAGGATCCGATATATGGGATCTAACATAAAAGTAGGCGGTGCCACACGCATGGTCCAATTTTTATTCCGGCTTCTATGACGCCCTATTATACTATATATTTTTACGTTTTAGTAAATTTTTTTTTTCATAAAAAATACCTTATTCATATCACTTACATGAGTTTCGTATGCGTTTCGAATTTTTCACACAAATTTCACCCTATTTCAAGGATGAAGTAACACAAATATATTTAAAAGATGATAACAACCAACGAACCAATTTCGTTATCAAATAGTTATATCTGAACGATCAAAATTAATTTCTTTTATGGGAAACATTGTCATATCGACAAGGTATCTTCAAGTGATTCGGCATGGATTGTTCTCAAAAATCCAATAAATTGTTCAGATTGGCATATAAACTGACCGCTCAAAACTATTTTTTAAAACAAGTTAAGCCTGTGTAGTATATTTTAGCTTTGGTACAGTCGGAGTTCTTCTTTTTCACACATTTTGTGTGACTCCACGCAATCGCTGTAGCGGAATCGAGTATGAAAGCCGTGAATAAAAAGATCCTGCCTCGGCATTGTCGATTTACCATACTACTCGCTATAAAGTTTCAAAAACAAAGAGTACAAAAAATAAAGCATTTATTTCAATTCCACTGGAAACAAAAAAATATTTTTCTCTAATAAAAATCAACAGATATTCACAGTACACATATTTGGTGTGCATGCAGGTATAGTATAATGTATGTATTAGTGTCTAATTGTATGTATGTAGGTTGTGTGCGTTCAAGCGCTAGGTAAAAGTGTGTTCATGTGCGTAAGGTTTACTTTGGTTGTAGTCCTCGATATTAGAAATAAAGCATTCACATCTCACTTCCAAATCGGGCCACACCGTTTTCTATCACTGCTGCATTCTTATTCCCCTTCACGTGCACTTTCCCTTCACTGTTTCGCACATCCAGCACTACCACGGCCAACATCCACTCTTCAACTTCATCACCATCGTATTTGCGGCTATACGTTACGCATCGCATGTGTGTGTGTGTACGCCTCAGTCGGCATTATCCAGAATGGCATCAATCAGCGCTACCACCTTCTGCCGGAAGCGGCGGTTCTGTTTCCCGGACATTTCCTTCAGAAATGGATGCAAGCTGTTGAGAAATGATTGATCAGCATCAGGTGAGGAGGGCATTAAACATTGGCGATGATGTTCATTTTTACTTTTAATCCACTCGGCAAATTCCGTCAGATCGACGGCGGATGCGCTACGCGGAGTTGGTTGCGTATCCGTTGCTGCAGCAAAAGCACTACTGTTTGCCGCATTACCGTTGCTATTGTTGACGCCACCGCCAATGGCACACGCATTCATGCTGTTGACGGCCGTCGCTGTACATCGTCCATGTTCCGGCGTTGTGGCACCTTGCTCCGTTTTGATGGCGGTCGGTGCCGGCATGACGACTGGTACTGGTATGGCGCACGGTGCTGTCATTGGTGGCTGCACTGTTATGCGTTGCTGCTGCGTCGCGGTTGCTGTACCTTCGTGTAGCGAAACCACAACGTCCTCTTCGGCTATTGCTACTTCCGTGCCGTTGGAATCTTTGGTGTCATCACTGCTGACTATGGGCATTGGTATGTGATTGATGCGCGTCATGGGTGGTTGCGGTGTTATTTTGCGCTGTGCAATTATGCTCGCTGTTGCATTGACATTCTTTAGGCGCGTCTTTGTGTAAGGTATTAAGAATTGCAGATATTTGGAGAGGTAATACTTGCGTTTGCCTCGACCAGTACTGGTACGTGATAGTTTCAACGATCGCAAGAAACTACTTCGGATCGTACGCCATCTCTCACGGCAATTGCGCACTGCAAGTAAGAGAAGATTCAATGAATAATTATATATTTATTCATGAAGTTAAAAAGTTCAAATTAAATATATATAATAAAACAGGATTAAATAGCAAATTAGATTCGAATGCGATTTTTGTTCAAAAATACACGAAAACTCATGCACATTTCTTGGTGTGCTTAACTGGTTTAAAGCATTTCAACATAAAACTAGTAAATAAAGAGATTTTCTTTTCAATTCCTATATAAATCTTAAATAAACCTTATAGAATAGAAAGTCTCCATAGAAAGTCTCAACTCCTTCGAATTGCCTTTTCTTTTATAGTAACTTTACTCTGTAACATTTCACTCAGCTCAATGGTTGAAGTAAGTTGCTTTTAGCTGAAAAATATGAAGTTTCGATCCCTTCAATTTAGAGGTTCATATGACTTTTTAAATAAACTATGGATATAACATAATAAACTATGAATATATAAAGATTTCTATTGTATAAAACTATTTACTATTAAACAACTTCCATTTCCAAATAAGATGATATGTAGCATAAGCATACTTAGGCAGAACAGATAGACAAGCTCAAAAATACCTATAATTTCTATGAAACAGCACGACGGATATTTTATGCATAAGTTCGTGGGTCAAAGCATTTTTACTGTTCCCAGAATTTGAATTTGATAAATATTTGGGTGCACGACAGCGAAAAGCTATGATTTGCTTTCGTATCTCCGAATCGGACCTTAGTTGTAGTTTGTTTTATGAATGTGAGCTTTTTCGTCTGTCTGTAATTACAAGATCATTTCGAATGGCGACCTACCGCTCACAGTTATTTCCTTGAGGTTAGTTTCCCATTCCCACGGGAAGTGTTAATATGGATGAATCTTTTTTGTAAGATCAGAGGTTTCGGAAAGATAATGTTTGAATTTACAATAATGGATATCAGTTAGTATAATATTTATTTATCACAGCTTATTTACTAATCGCGGTGGATTTCAATACACTCACATACTCGTACAAGTGATAGGAGTGATATGATTTCTTAGCAAAAAATATACTAATTGTTAAGGAAGTGGGAGCTAATCGAGATGAGAAACCTAACTACATAGGACCTACATTTCTATTTCTGCATTAGAACGAATATGAAACCAAATATCAGAAAAGTGGTTAAGAGAAATCCCAGATATATATACTAGGACCTCTATAGACATACATATACTAGTAGGCAAGAGACTTAGACCTTGTTTGTATAACTCATATGAAGGGATTACAAAAAGTTGGTGGGCAGGACAAAGCGAATAATTCTGGAAAGTCAAGAAACTATTATCTAAAAGCTGTGCCTCGCCCGGTATAATTTACAGAAGTAGCGGAGCGCACACCTTGCGCATGGTCAATTCCTCCGCAACTGCTAGGACTTATTAGAAATCCTAGTCAGTGTGCACTTTTAAGGCTGTAAGGACTCGGCAAGCTGTGAAAAGAGTAGTGTGGTAAACTTTCCCGAACACACCTTTAGAAAATAAAATAGTTAGGGAATAACATCAGAAATGCTACAGATTATGCTCAGTCTATCCGTGTCATAGCTAAAGACGAATTTTAAAGAATGCATGAAGATCAGCTATTTGTAGGGTTACCATATTCCCTGATTTTGACCTTCGGCACTGATTCACTAATTTTCGTGAAAAATACATTGATTCTCTGGTTTCCTCCTAAATCGGCGATTTTTTTTATTACTATAATTTTTTTTTTAGCGATTGTGCGAAAAAAAGTAAGCACTCCAAAATCGACCGAGTTCAACTCGCGCAGGTTTTCTTCGGTATAAAATTCCTGTGCGAGTTGAACTCGGTTGAGTTTTGGTTCGCACACCATATGATATTACACACTTGTCTTGACTCGAATTTGCGGAATTTACTTACATAATTTTCTAACCACCGGTGTGTTCGCAACTATTATATAATATTTCACAAATTGAGTCCGAATCTGGAATGGGCAATTTTTTACGCCTAATAGCTGGAACAGCGAGCTACGTAAACCAGCAGCCCGAATTTGCTGATACGACCTATATTATGAGAGCGCAATGTAAATGATTAGCCAACACCGCATCTACCGCCCGCTTTACCGTACGTAGTATTTCACACGATTTGGATTTTTCCCTAGAAACGAGTCAGCTGATTGCTCTCTCACAACGCAGGGTTACCAGTCTCGATATACTGTAGTAATTATAAAAATTGATTTTACAAATGCAACGGGACTGATTTTGGCAACCCTATCTATGTGCCACACTTATGGAGAGAGGCTAGGGTAGTTTTCATACCGAGGCAGGTAGAAACAACCCAACCTATTTAAAGAGTTTATTCACATAAGCTTGACTTCCTTCCTGCCTAAAACGATAGAGAAAGTCTTGGACGTGCCCATTAAGGCCGCAGCGACTGTCCAAAGCGTAATACACATACACGAAAGGCAGATCGGTAGAGACTGCATTACATACACTTGTATCTAATAAAGGTTTTGAATAAAAGGGATACGTTCTCGACTGAATAGCATCCAGTCAATAGGTGTTGGTAGTGCTATACAATGTCGGATCTTTGACCTCTAAAAGGATAAGACCAGACGACGCTAGAATGACTAAGGAAGCCTGTAGAGGCGCTCTGCAACGTAGAGGGCTATCTCCGCTTGTTTGGCCATCATTGGTGGATAAACTGCTAAGGAATTTCGACGGCAAAGTCCCTAAGATAGCGGCATGTACGGACGACATTGTAGTCTTAATAACAAGTAGGTGTTTACAGTCCATTAGCAGTACTGTGACTAACATACTCCATACAGTCTAGAATTGGGTATCGCAAGCGGGTCTGGGGTTGAACCCGGAGAAAACGGATCTGATTGTGTTAACAAGAAACGCACAAATATCAACCATGGAAATTTCTTTCGATAAATGGAACACAACTCTCTCAAGGACCACATCTACTTTTGGGCAGTCTTGAAAAGCAAACTGGTGTGGACGCACGGTGAGGAAGAAAGAGTGAGAAAGGCAACGCCGTATATGCGTGTAATTAGATGCTCGACACAAACTGAGGGCTCTCTTTGTCTTTCATGCACTGGTACTACCCATCCAGCTCTATGGCTATGCTGTAAGCATCTGGGGGCCCCATGGTATGATACACTGAAAGAAGTATCGTTAATAAATGAATGATTATCACCTTCAATATTGCCTGCTAACGCTTGAAGATAGTCTGATTTATTGATAAAGACCAATGACTCCCAATAAACCTATAAGAAGTAATCTAATGCTGTTAAGTCACTACTTCTTGGGGGATCATTAAATGCCCAAATTTCTTGAAGTAATCGAATTTCCAAACTTTTCTGGTAATAATTCGTTTGTTGTTCGTTCTGTGTGACACTTAGCCCCGTCTTGTTGGAACCAGATATTGCTAAGATCAACTTTCTCCATTAGTCGCCATAAAAGTATCACCAGCTTCATTTCGAAAGAAGTTAGGTCCGATGATTCCACCAGACCCAAAATCCAGATGCAAAATGCAGCATAATCAGGAAGTATGTTGATCATACAACGTTTTGGCAATAGATAATAGTGATACAGATCGAAGACTTAATATAAATCATGTGTTAGATTTACCTTTTAGAGTTGGAAGGCGGGCGTAGCAATTCTCTAATTTTGTTTATTTAGGAGGAACGTATTGTAATTGAACTCGTTGCCTGAGTTTCACTAAGATTCATAATTTTTTTCTCAAGGAATCGCTTTCATGGACAGACGGTAAAGCATCCATTTCGTCTTCCTATCATATTCTGCGCAACATGTTGTCAGCGTAAAAAACGTTAAGGGCGAAAAGTGGTTGCTTAAGTGTTGCACCGAACTTAGGAGCTTTTACTACCCTGCCTTTTGTTGGTATATATGTATATAAGTACAGCTATAATTACACAGCTGATGAAAATCCCGATCGTTGGAACTTTCGCGCTGAAGTCAGATATAAAACATGTGATAACAAGCGCAGGAAGTGTAAAATGTATTATCGTTGTATTGATTTAAAGAATTCTTTGTATTTCTACAGTTGGGCTGCTTTTACTACCAGATTTTGCTCAATTTGTTTGAAAGAAAGCAGTAAACTACAAAATTTTCAAAATTTCCATATATGAGAGTATTAAATGCTGCTGTTCTACTGAATATCGGTAAACGCGTTTTGCGCAATGCAAATAAACTCATAGAGCTTCTTGTAACCGCGACAAAAAATTGCAATAAATTAAAAACAAATTAAATGCTCGTGCACGAACGCTAATCGCAAACAGCGCAATATGAGCTCCAAGTGTAGGGAAAAGTCTGAGAACAACTGCAAACAGAGAGCGCCAGAGAGTCACAATTTGAGTACAGATTATGGAAATTCATATGAGGCAATAGACTAATGTACGAGTACGGTTGTGGGCATGTACGTACATACACACATACTATATTATATGACAAAAGCTCCGAGCACAGAGAATGCAATACACGAAAGAGGCAAGAAAAGCTTCTGCAGCAATTGCAGCTGGCGTGCCAACATTGTCGCACCTTGCTTCGCATTTCGTCTAGCCATAGCGCGCACCATGGCGCACATGCAAATGCAGCAAAACACGGCAACAAGTAAACAAACCGATTGACTGGCGGCTGACGAAGCGACACGGTGTGACGCCCCAGTCGTAGGCACACGCAGAACGCCACACACACGCGCTTGCGAAAATGCAAAAACACGACAAAAAAGTTCACAACAACAACTTTGTAAGAAGTTGGGGGCGCAGCTCTGGGCAACGTAACTAAGCGTATTGAGGGCGCTGCCATTGCCAACTGACCAACATGTACATATGTATGTGTGTTTGTATTGCATATACAGTCGGGCGACAATCATCAAGTTGCGTACGTCAGTCGCCGTTGCGGTGCGCGCTGTAGTGGGGTGGGGAGTGCGCGACACGAATGACGAGCGTAGAAGTGCAGCGCAGTGTAGCGCATGCATCGCGAATGCGAAAGCGAAAACTTTGAAGAACGAACGGCACGCAATTCTACGCTGCGCTCTGTGACTGTTGTGAGCTCTAGCTATTAGCTACTAGCTCACTATTACTACATAGCAAATGCGAAAGCTCCGCCGCATGCACGTACAAATAGACAACAACAATAACAAATGAGAAAAAAAATGCATTAACAACAATAGCAACAAAATGCAAACGCAAATTATTATAATAGCAATAGTGAATACATGAGTATACTTGTACGTACTCGTGTGTACAACAAAAATAATAGAAACCACAATGTTAGCACTAACAACAATTATGGTTATTAGCAATAAAGACGAAATGGGAGCAGCTGCGACGGCGCCAACCAACAGGCAAACAATGCTTACATACCATTATCTTTTGTCTCATTGGCCACCTCCTGCCAGGCCTTTTGGGTTTCGTCCTTCTTGCTGTATGCTGGCAGCGTTGAGTTCCAAAGGCACGGATGGTTTTCGACCAATTGCACAAAGCGCACATTCAGAACGGGATCATCCTTGCGCGCCATGCTGATAGTCGACGTCGCAACACTAGATGCGCGTCGTTGGCGTACAAACGGCGGACGACGACGACGTGTGCGTTGGCGACGCCTGATGTTGCTGATGATGATACCCGTCCGCCAAATGTGCACTGACCGCTCGCGCACCGTATTCGCGCGCCCTGTGTCGCACCTGTTATCGTCTTAACACCACAATATAGTACACCAATAGTCACTCAGACGATGGCTGCCCTCGTTTGCATTTGGTGCGCAAAGTGTTGCGCGGTGCGGTGCGGTGCGGCACAGATAATAATTGAATGCACGTGTGTTAATGTGTATGTGTATATATATATGTTTTTTGCAGTGTTTGTTTGTATTTGTATGCGACGCGAATTAAATAGTAAACGACGATGCAGCAAAATCAACTTGACTGAACGAGCGTTAAGCGAAAACTGAAAAAGCTGCATTGGCGACAGCGGCGCCCCAACAACGACGACTACTACTGCAATCTCAAATGGCAACAGCAAACGCAAATGCAACGACAACAGCGGCACCATTCAGTCAGCACGAAGAACGCGCCGTAAGCCAAAATAGTGGCACAGTGGGAACGTTTGCGGAAGCATGTGAACGCTAATAATAATCCATTGTCGTTCATTTGGAGACTAAAATGTGTTCTTGTATGAATACATTTTACATGCACTTAAGGGATGGGTAGTCAGAACTTTCGAAACAACGAGGTTGATTTTGCATTTGCTTAAACTATGTATAATATCTTAAAAATGTTCTTTGAAAATAGTTAGCAAAGGGTTTAGAGGCGCTTTAGGTTCTGAGTTTAAAATTTCAAATGTATTTTTCTCAAAACAGTGGTTTTTAATTATACAATTTCGAAATCATGAAAAATAGTGTCGGAAAGAAGGATTAACGATTAACTGTTGGTGTTTTTTCGTAAAATTATTTAAAGTTGTTGTTGTAAAAAAACGAAATTGACTTACATTTAAAATTGTTTCGCGTTACTATAATTTGTGCTATACCATTTTGAAGAATAGCTCGCTTAGGGCCATTATCTCCAATACTCTAGATCACTGAACGTCAAATCTATGGTTTACCATTTTTAATCTCAAACATTTTGGAATAAAAATTCAAAATCTAATCGCACATAGTCATTAAAAAATTAAAATTTAATTCTTAATCTCGGGATTATTATGAATTAAAAATTCGATTTCCTAATTTTTAGACCAAAGTTCAAAGTTTTAAAATCAAAAGTTAAATTTTTAATTAATTTCGACTTTTGTTTAAAATTAAAAATCTAATTTTTCCAATTTATTTTAATTAAAAAATTCGGCATCCATTCCAGCTGTAAAGTAATCAATATTTCTTAAATGGTTTCCTGACAAAACATTGAACGCATTGTGCACCGCATAGTTTGACATTTGCTGAACAAGTAAATGTTCAGTCCATTCTTCTTAGTATACGAAAAATTAGTTTTGCTCGTTCAATTTCTATGGCGGCTATGCTATATAATGATCCTACAATTTATTCGGAAGTTATTCCGTTGATCTGGACAATAATCTATTCCAAGTATTGTGAAGATATATCGTTAAATTAAAAGTTTTCCTTACAGTAACTTTATTTTTACCCCTCAGTTTGTATGACTACTAGGCTATACTGTCTGATATCGGCGGTACTGACAAATTATCAACTTTTTGGGGAAGAAAAGAACGAGTGCAAAACTCCAAATTGATATTTCAAAAACTGCAGGACTAGTTCGAGTACATACAGACGGGCATGACTAAATCGCCTCACTCCGACTTTTCCTTCTGAGTGTTACAAACTTCCTTATATAATTAAATCACGACACGAAACACACGGACGCAAAGTTACGATTATTTCCCACTGCGGGTTAATAAGTAGAGTTTAACTCTAACACTAAAGAATCTTTTGGAGATTTCTATACTACAACGCTTAGAAAAAGCTATTTAATCGCTTTCTAACTTAAGATATTAGCTATATCACACAATTGATAATCTGTATGGGTTGTAAACTTGCAGCTTTATGAAAAATATATTAAATAATTAATGTAAATAAAGGTATTTACAATAGATTGTAAGCAAATATCAGACCAATGGAAATTTATAATGTATTAGTAATAATAAAAAACTGTAGTAAGATGTATTTGTAGTGTTTTTCTATATTTCATAACATGTAACAATATTTATATTTACCTTAGATTTAATAAGCAATGCCCCACTGTGCAATGCCAAAGTCACTGTCGGCGTCCAACTGCAGTTAGAGGTATGTAGGCGTTTCTACGTGCAAGCAAACACTTGCGCTGCACAGCAAAAGTTGCGAGTATATTGTGTGCACCCCTTTGTTGCCACCGCCGTCGAAAAAGCTTGAGAGAATGCAAAATATGACGTCATCATGAATCAAATAACTGCGCGTTGCATTTACTGTAAGCCGTAACGTACGCAAAAGCACAATGGCTAAGGGAAAAAGTTCCTATTGCCATAAGGGCAAAGCCGAGGGGTGATGACGGTCGAAATGTCTGAAAATGCCAGAAACTTCATCTCACAACTCCACGGTGGTTTCAATTGCTGGCGAGAGCCGAAAGCCAAGCAAAGTATACGTGGGTTATGCTCAAGCAGCAATCGTGCTAATTGCTTTCGGTCGTCGTTAGGTGTAGTGACTGTAATGATCGCATTGGCCCATAGCAGAAGTAACTGCAGTTCTGTGCATGCAATGGACGTATAAATAAATTTACATCTGCGTCGCGTAAGCGTTAGAACTTTTGCAATGATATGGCATTTGCGGGTTTTTGTTTTATAATTTGTTTTGCTCTTATTTTTAATATAGTTTTTGCTTTGCCTTGTAAATATCTTACGAGTTGCGCCGAATGCACTTCGGCACATCTACCTGTATACATATACCTATATATTTAGCTGTATGTGTGTGCTGTATCAGACGCATCGCTGGTGCGAGCTTTGGTGTCGTGTGACGAATGTGCATTGGAAATTATTATATTATTGTTGTTATTGTTAGAATATAATATTGTTCTTTTTACCTTCTGCCTTTTGTATTTTGTAGGAACTCATTTGAGCTTTCGCTGGTAAAAGTGAAAAAGTGGTGAAGAAATTGAACTCGCCAATGCGTGTATGTGTGTATACTGTCACTATGCACGTGTTTTCATTCACCGTTTGATGAAATGTGAAAAAAATTTTTACTGACACACATACATACTGCATATTTACATTCATCAAATACGGTAGCACCAGAAGTCCGCCTCTGTGAAACATTTTCCTTAGAGCTTTGAGAGCTTGTGAAATAACTCTTGGTTTTTACATTTCATACATACAACATAAAAATTCTGATTCCGCATCAATAATAAATTTCTAAATTTCTTGCGTTTGAGCATAGAGAAAACGTGACTTATTGAGTGTCTTTTCATTATAATATTCTCACAATTATCTTTGCCATGCGTTAGAGAGTAGTGAATCGAACAAACTATACCAGTAGTTCATACAAAGTAGTAATTGCGTTGGAACCCTGCGCGAACATAACCGAATACGCAGTTTGTTGTGCTTTTATTTTTATGGAGAAATTCTTCTATCTTGCCGTCTTAAAGTTTGAAAATCAATTTATGCTAGTTTTTGAGAGTAATTTGTCATAGAAGCCGTTTACAATCGTAAAACTTAGTTACATGACTTTATTGAAATGTCTGCACACTCTCTTGTATCAATTCAACTCGAAAATTTTGTTTTTGCTTTTACAATTAAAATTTACTTAATTTGTTTACCAAGAGCAACGCGTGAAGATAGCGAGCAGCGAAATGGCAAAGAAAACTGCATTTTGTACCTTCTCTTTAGTAACTTATTTTATATACTAGCATATTTTTTATATTTTTACATATGTATTTACGGTAAAACATTTCTCTTTGTGCCTGTTTATTCTTCTATGCATTGAGAGGTTTGAGAGGTTATGATAATTTTTGACAGTTATGGTTTGAATTGCAGGTTTGGATAAATTTACAACTTTTGTTTTTGGTAAAGACTATACCAAAGTTCACACCTAAGGGAACTTTTATGAATCAATTCCATATATTACCGAAAAAATAATTTCATTGTAAAATAAGTGTAAAATGAATTAGTAAATGATTTGAACAGCTTTTTTGACACCTTCCTGAGAGTGATATGTTTTAAAATGATAACATAATGTTATAGTATATGAAAGTAGAGGACGTTAATTGAACCAGATTTATGTATATACTCTAGAAAATATTGTATTAAATAACAGGAAATTATTTATTTATATTAAATTACAAGAAGATAAGGTATTAAGCTGCACTGTGTGCCATGTTTCATTTTAAAAGGAGTAAGAAAGGCGTATGCTGATGATATTGGTATAATTGGCCTCAACCACCGCACCGTTAGTTCTGAATAATGAAGCGAATCATATGGGTCTGGTTGTGAGCGACGGCAAGACGAAATATCCTGTCACAAACAAATGGTCGTCGCTCTCGTGATTTGGCTTCCACTTCACTGTTGAGAGTCAAACTTCAAAGTCGTAGATAATTGCGTCTATCTTGGAACCAGTATTAACACCAACAACAACGCCAGCCAGAAAACCCTTGCCAATAGGTGCTACTTTACTGAGAGTAAAGTCCTTGTTAACAAAGGCCAAACTCTACAAGTTATTCATCATCCTTGTCCTGCTATATGGTGCGGAGGCATGGACGATGATAACATCTGATGAGTCGGCATTACGAGTTACAGTGTTTCTTTAATTTGCATTGCTTTATATGCTATATTTTATTTGTCGTCTTGAACGAGACAACAAATTACGGACATTTTTTGGTTAGATTTCAATCTGGCCTTTCCTCGTTTCCAATTGCTAAACGTTAATACCTTCTGAACTTTGACAGTTGGCAGAATTCAGAAGATTTTGAGATGAGATGAGAGATGAGTTGGGCATCTCTTTATTTCTGACGAGTTTTCGAGAGAAAGGTTCTACGGAAGATTTATGGTCTTTTGCGCATTGGTAACGGCGAATAATGCAGTCGACAGAACGATGAGCTGAGGCATGGACGATGATAAATGACGACATTGGCATAGTTCAGCGAATTAAGAGACAGCGGCTACGCTGGCTAGGTCCAATAATTTAAAAAAAGCTGTAAGGGTGGTATTTGGCGAGTTAGCTGCTAATTGTGCATTCCGCATTCTGAGCAGTATATGTAGACCTCTGGCCGTTTTTCAAGTGCACTGCAAGATGCAGATTGGAGAGTCTCCAATTTGATACACAAGGTGCGTTCCAAAGCAAACAGAACTTAAAAAAAATAGAACAAATGTGTTTTTCGGCAAAATCAATTTATTTTATTCAAAATAGTCTCCTTCTGTTTCAATAAAGCTGTTTGCACGGTCCAAAAGCATGTCGAACGAGAA